CAGAGCGTGGTGAAACCAACAATCAGTATATTGTTATTTGAATCTATTATCGAGGTGTGTTCCCTACTTATTATTGAACTGTTTATTGGTTTTAATATTGGTACACCGAATTCATTGGTTATTGTTTTATGGATGCACCAATTTAATGTGACAATTTATGGAATATGGCTGCTATCTAATTTTTGTTTTGAAATGGTATATGATTACCATGTTTTGGATTTATGGAATTTATGTCACGGGCAATTGAATTTTGGAATTGAATTACGATGGAATAGCTCTGATCAAGCTAACTGGGCCTAATGTGACTCTTGAGGGCCCCAAGATGTCATTAGGTCGGCTTTCCTTTGCTGTGTGCTTAGGGTAAGCTATATGGACTTATTGACTTGGGCTTAAGGATAACAAGCTTCAGAGCCTATCCTTAAGTCGGCTGTCTTTTTGCTATGTGCATAAAGTAAGCTATATGGAAATAATTTTGAGAACTACTGATGGTGTACCAGAAAAGGGTTTAAAATGATTTCCAAAAAAGTTAAACTCTTTTACGAATTTGTGAGATTACTGGACTATGATTTGTACATATTGTGATTTTATGGAAATATTGGGACACACTGAGCCTAGCTCACTTTTTGAAAATTTTCCCCTTTTCAGATACTGTTGGTTAGTACCTCGGTTCGAGCACTTGGAGGATCAACATATCTCTTGAAGTAAATCAGATTGTAATGTTTTTATCTTGCAAGTTGACTTTATTTTGGTGACATGGACTTATTTTAAAATATCGGATAATAATGATGACTCTTTTGCTAATACTGCTCGGATTATTGTAATTTTGAATTTGAAGACATGTTTTAAATTAAAATTATTTTTTGGTACTATATTTACGAGTGGATTTTGATAGTATAATTTGTTTAATTTCATGTTATTTTAATGTGATTTTATGTTGATGGAATAACGGTTTCGGAAAATGTCTTTAAAAATCATAATGTGATCCACTAGGCTTAGTCGAAAACGCATAGGCCGGGTCTAGGGGGTTACATTTATTTTTTTAGCTTTAAGTAATGAGATTAATATTATTTTTTTAGTTATGACAAATTTATATTCTTTATCATTTAAACCTAGTTTAAATAATTTACTTAGTTTTCTTAACTTGCATTTTTAAGTGTTATGTTTCCTTTTATTATTTTAGTAACATTGATGTATTATATAATATATATATATGGAATATACGTGAAAATAAAATATGTATATAATTGTTGGTAGTAAATAACATTGCATGATATTGTAATCATAATATTTGTTTAATTAATTTTTAAATTAACATCGTGTTGCATAATGTATGATGGTTCACGTGCATAATTTGATCTAACCACATATCGGATAAAGGTAATACCCTTTTAATTTAAAATTATTTAAGTGGGTTGTCTTAACTGATTAGATATCCGCTTTGGACGATTTTAAATTAAAAGTATCCATCAGTGACACCTAAGAAATAATTCATCATTTTAAAATTGGGAACGGAAGAAAAAGAAATATTCGACTATTTAAATTTATCGAGAAAAGATAGTTAGAACTTATCTAAGATTTGGTCTCGATATTTATAAATAATCGAATATTCTTTATCTTTCTAAAGGCTTGGTAATTTTAATTTAATCTATTTTGGTGATTTTGAATGTGATAAAATTCGTATGTTGTTTTGTGGGGATCATAAATCAAATTAAAATCGAAATTTGTAAATTTCATTGCAAAGACATTAATTAAACCGACGAGGTACCAATTTAGGGCGTTGTGGGGGTGTTAATCCTTCTCCACGCGTAACCGACTTCGAACTCATTTTCTGGTAACGCAAACCTAAATTTATTGTTTGGCGACTCTTCGAACCTATGTTTTTATCGTGAATGAATTCTCAAATTTTCTAAACGAGAGGTTTTCTAAAATCACATTATTTTAAATTAAAAATCAATCTTAAAATGAATAATTAAAAAATGACGTGACTTTTCAAAATCTCGCCTCCACCTTTAAAAATCGTTTCAACAAAGATGATATAATCAGAACCCAGATTTCAACATTCCTTGTTTTATTCTAAATAAGCTACAAGAAAACACATGTATTTGCTTTTCCTGGTATATATCTTCGCTTACAACAGTCTCAAAAGAATGTTTCCTCTTCATAGAACTGACCATTCATGTCATGCATCTTTGTCGTGTTTTTTGATTACTTTCTATGTGCCCTGTATAATGTTCTTGTTATCCATGCTACTGATACTTACCGGGATGTGTTCTTCCGAAAACTCTGCGCTCTTTAGACATCAATAAGATGGGCTCAACTAGGGCCTAAAATGTAACAAAAGTTGCAAAGAAGGAATTCCCTTACTCGGCCTTTTGTCACCGGACCAAAGGGTGATTAAATAGATGGAAGACGAATACAATATGATGAAATTGTATTTTGTCACTGGACCAACATGGATTGGTTCAAGAGTCAAGCAAATTGATATTTAAGCAAATTGATATTTTTTAAGTAAGGTTTCGGGTTCGAGTTATTGTATGTGCAGAAAATCCCTATTGAGAGGCTCACCCATCAAAGTCAGTGTGTGACTTGGGTTGATCCGGATTAATGAAGGTAAAGACTTAAAACCAAGAGAGCAATCAATGAAAAAATAAATAAAAGAAAGAGGAACGCAATCCATTGAGACATTTAATTAGTCTCACTCTTGTCTGTGAATTTTAAAAATGTATTTTCGGGTGAATGATAAGCTGATCTCGTTATCATTTGTAATAATGAACAACATGTTTTGCTTAGTTTGTAAGGCACTTAATGAGTTCGTGTAATCTCAATTAAGAGATAAACATTTAACAAAACCTAAATAAAATGTTCTTTCTTATTTTGATTTATAAATAGTTTTTGTTTGATTTGATTTGCACGTGATTAATCCATTGCTTGTGTTGAAAAGGTCTGGAGAAGTATTGTTCTAGAAAGATAGATTTGTAGTTTAGAGGAAAATATTTAGGGAAGGAAGGAGTCAATGCCCGACGCTTTATGTTATCAATATTTCTTCTGTTTGAACCATAATGTTCCATCAAAAAATAAAATATTGTAACTTTAAAAGTTTTCGGTATCAAATTTGTTAAAGATTTTAATTAACCCTCATTCTTTAAAGATTTTATGATTATTTTTTATAAACATCTTTGACATTCAACTCTTTTAAAAAATTAAATAATTTTTTTGTGCTTCTGATTTCAAGTTTTTATTAACTAATACAAATCGTACATCTAACTTAGTGAGTATGTCTCTTAGTATATATTTTCTACACACAAGGACTTGAACTTGAAATCTTACTTAAATGCTATCAAATTACTTATCACTTGAACTAATTCCGAATTAAATAAAATTTCAATCTGTATAACTAAGATTTAAATTATCTTGGAACATAAAGAGACGTTAAAAGTTTGTTGGGTATGTGACAATGATTATAAGAAACCTTACCCAACCCACGTCGGAAACAGCCCATCCTCCTTCCCCATGTGACTGAATTACTTTTTCTTAAGGTCTCTCATGGACACCTTCAAAACCCAGAGCTTTTTCTTATGATTTTATTCCCCTCATTTAAGACATTTCTTTTTCAAAGGCCTCTACTTTTGTACAAATGCAGGAGCACAGAAAACGTGGCCATGGGATATAATTATAGGGTGGGAATTGATGTAAACCCTTAACAGATCATGATTGTACTTCAAACGTATTTATTTAGATGTTAGTATGTTCATGCTCGGAATTATAGGATATAATTATAACATAATGTTATTATGTTTATTTATTTACTTATCAATAAACAATTCAAATCTTGTACGAACTTACTTATTTCGGTAATTAATTAATCGTTGTTGTTAAAGATCATGAGTTCGGACACCAACAGCTACAACATGATGATTAGACATACATTGTCAAACGATTAAAAATATTTAAAACAATACTACTTTATAATCACCAAAGTTAAAAAAAAACAATTCAAATCTTTTCCCTGTTAGACCGCCATCTCTTCTTTTATTCCAAAAAAAAATAATAATTTGGTTAAGGTTTTCAAGGCAAACTGCTAGGTGGTCAAACGAATTGGTTTCGACGTAGTTCAAATTCCCTGAGAAAATCCATTGATTGCCCACTGCACACTCCTGTTCAAAACTTGTGTCTCGTAGGGGTCAATCTTTTGCTAGATTATTCATATTATTTTAATATATTTTTATAATAATTTGTACTTTTAATATTTTATATTTATATAACATTTAATAATAAGTCAGATAAATTTTAGAGTAAATTATTTATTTGGGCATCTACTTATTATTTAGTTTCTGCTTTAGTCACTCATTTATTATTTTTTTAAGAATATGTCTAACGTTATGTTTTGATTCTATTTTGGTCACTACTGTTAAAAAAATTAAAGGTGGTATTGATGTGTTGTCCTAAGGTAATGCAACGTTAGTATTAAAAGAATAATTAAAAATATCACATCAGCATCACTGTTAGTTTTTTAACCATGGGTAACCAAAATGTAAAGTAAAGTATGATTTTAAAAAAATAATATCATTAGATAATCGAAACAAAAACTAAATAATAGGTGGATGACCAAATAGGTAGTTTACCCAAATATTTAATATTTCTGTCTGAATTATGAATATTGATTTACTCTTTTGAGTTGTTGACTCGGAACTCTAATTTTATTTTGTTTTCATAATTCCCTACCTACATTCCGCAATATAAGCAATCAGAAGAGCGATCCAAGGACTTGGTATAGTTTGTCTTGAAAGAGTTCACATTTGCTTCTCTTGTTTTGCGGCACAATCGCCACAGCCACCATATTATGATGATGGGTACAGGGAAGATGATTCATGCTGCTATTTCCATCCTAAACAAGTGGTCATCGGGATTTGTCCTTTGTGCTTAAACGACAGGCTTCTTATCTTAGCTTCAAAGCAAGGCCACTCTTCATCCTCATCATCGGGCAGCCGTAGATTTTCAAAAGAAACCACACATTCACCTCCCCAAGATCTTTGCTTTAGGCCCACTTCTCCATCGCCGTGAGCTCAAGCACTGGAAATCTCAGATTTTGATGACCAAGATGCTTCAACCAGTCAAGAAGGTAAATAGTAAATACCCTTTTCGATTTCAGTTTCAGATCCCTCTCTTTTTTTCTTGAATATCCATCACATGCAGGCACATGTCTCTTCGTATGTAGAATTATTGTTTGTGTAAATGACAAAAGTGTGGTCAAAGTATGGCAAAACCGGAAAACCAAGAATCTTATCCTGTTTTCTTCAGTTTCCTCTGCAACTTTTACCTGCATGAAAATATACGTGTGTGTTTATGGGAATAGATGTTTAGCTAGCAAAAAGCCCATTGAATTCTGCATATAATTTATGCAAATTCATCTGATCTTCCATAAAAAAAAGGGACCCCTTGAATTTTCTTTCTTGCTAATCATGTCCTCAGCTTATCAAAATTTGGTATAACTTGTCTTTCCTTTCTTTTCTTTTTCAGGCTACAGATTGGCCTCACCATTAATGCACAAATCTTGTGCATGTACTAAATTACATATCTTCTATAACATACAATAAACTTTACCATATTGTAGAACAATGTTTTGATTTACTGTAATCTTCTTCCCCCCTTTTTCTGCAGACTCCTTTATCTCAATCAAGTTTGAAGAGAATGGCGTTTGTTCATGGGAAAAAGGCGAAGTTTCAAAGGTTTCACTTGAGAATTGCAGCATGTCGTGGAACCCCACGTTGGACAATAAGAGTGTGATCGAGCATCCGAAACCAGGAGGCTCGCTCCGGTGGCGAAAGCGGATGGGCCACCTGTTTCAGCTCGTAAGGTGGAAGAGGTCCACCAGCAAGGCTGAGGGAGTCAAGGCCATGAAGAAGAGCTGGATCGTAAGGACTCTCACAAAGAGAACCTAATAATAAAATACTTTCTTTTTTTGTATTGTAAATGATAGTAATTTGAGCTTTCCCTACCATTTCCAAATTGTGTGAAAATGATTTTGGGTTAAAATGTTCATTGTTTTTCTTGTAATTTATTATTATCTGATAAAGCAGAACAAGATATAGTGGTTCAACTTGTTTTCTTGTTGTCTAATTACTGAGTTTATATTCTATGGCGTCATCAAATCCATGGACTTCAAGAATTTAAACATTTTTGGCGTTCCTCAAGTTTATAATGTTGTAATTTAGATGTACGCTGTTAAATTGGCCGTTAAATAGTATGTCACGTTTTGGTAATTTTAAAAATTTATTAAAAAAAATCAACAAATCCCAAACCTCCCCGTGCCTTATCCCCTTCCCACCTTCACCTTTTATGTCTGTCGGTCGGCCGGCGATGACCATCACCACTACCATCATCGACACTATAATCAACTCTCGATCAAACCTCTGTTGGTCTTTCGCCATAATTTACCGTCATTTATCGTAGAGAAACATTCAAAGTTTCGTCATATTTTAAGTTACCGTCGTTGTTTTTCGTCGATTCCGATTGATCCCAACGTCCATGCCACGCCATTACCACCATTCGAACCACCGTCCAATTCCGCTCAAACCCATCATTGTCGTCGCTCCGTCGATGCTCCTCTGGCGTTCCACCATGGTAACGAGGTTGAAATGAGATATATTAGTGTTTTTAAATTTTTATAATTTCATTAAAAGTTTGGGATTCTTTTATAATAAATTAAGATTTTTTAATTTTTTTCTTTTTCATTAAAAATAATATTTTTATTAACAAAATTAAAAATAAATAAAAATATAAATGCGTACCTAAAAGTGTAACTAAAAAAATATATTAATTTTAATAAAAAATCTTTATATACCAAATCGTTTTTCCAGGTAAAATTTAAACATTTATTTTTATATCAATCCTAGATTTTTTTCGGTTCAAAATCTGACAATTTAAGACAGATAATGAGGAAAATTGGGAAATTTGATTGAAAGGGCACTCAAAATCTAACAATCCATCGAAATTCAAATACAGAACTCGGCAAGAACAATAAAAGGGAAGCAACTTTAGTTGTAATAAAGAAGAGTTTGGCCTTCCTTTCTTTGCACAAGCTCTCTCTCTCTTCAATGTCAAACAAACTTTAAAAAGGCACATTGTTTTTTACACCTTTCATAAAGGCTGAAATCCTACCCAACGTGACCAAAGTATTGGTGAATTACACAGACATTCAAGACTAATTGGGACAACTTCTGGGTAGGCCTCTTCCCGAACCATGCTTTCAGTGGTCCACATTTCCACATCTTTGTCTAGGAGATAAACTTTTTTATTTGCTCTTCACATTACTTCCCCCCCCCCCCCAAAAAAAAAATCGTAGTGGGGAAGGTAGAAGGAATGAAGGGAAATTGTTCCCCAAACCAAATCAATTGTTCTTAATCATATATCCTTATTCTTGTATCAATAATATTATACTAGATTTTGATGAAAACAAATGGATCATGACTACTACAAACAATTCATCCTTAATAATTAAGATGAAGAGTCGTAATTAATTAGTAGTGAAACAGTCGTTGATCGATGTTATAATCTCCTACCTCCATAAGAAGATAGAGGAGGGATTGGTGAAGAGGTTTGGGATCCTTTCTCTCGATCCTGAACTGAAGATTTTATAGTATATTAGTGTTGTTAGACATATGATTCTTGTAGTTATTCATAGGTTAGAAGACTATATAAATACGATCATCTGAAACAGATTTGGTTCTAGTATCATGTGAACATGTCAAAAGTCACGTTAGAGGATCACGACTTTTAAAGGTGTAAGGCTCTAGAGAGACTGTGTTTGAAGATAATATTCCTTACCCAAAAATTTGAAGTACGTCAAAGATTAGAAATTTAAAGATAATTTTAAATCTTCTCGTTGTGTTCTCTAAAAGTCCTAAAATATAAAGAATATTTTAAAAAATAAAATAAAATATTATTTAATTTAATTTTTTTCAAAAACCTACTTAAAATTTTGATACAATGTTTAAGTACAATCTTTTAATTTAAACAATAAAATTAGTTTTACGTTTCTGATAATCTTTATCGTGTTAGGTAAGCATCTTAATGGGTATATATCTAAATTGATTTTCATGGTAGCCGATACCCTAACTCTGGAACACTCATTTTCAAAGAGATTAAACTGTTTTTATATCTACATATAGATAGGTACATGTGAAAGCTATGAATTAATATAATGGAAAAAGTGGAGAGTTGCTCGTAAAGCTTAAATACCTTAATTCAATGTCGTGTAAACGATTCCACTAACCTAAGCTTAATTAATCCTTGCACTGAACCCTAGCCCTAGGGGCTCTTAATTTTGGCATGTGTATACCAGATAGAGACCCTTGTAAAAAACGTACTATTAAAGTAATTTTCCGATTATATGGAATATTATAGTAAAGTACTGTACTTCTCATGAAAAAAAGTTAGGGTAACTTACAAATTTAATGATCCAATTATTTATGTGATTTTGTTTAATCATTTCATATTTCTTTCAAAATTACACATAATATACATTTTAGTTTATTTTTGTCATTTAAAAATTAACGGTGAAATTGACATGTCACCATAAGATAATGTCATATCATCTTGAAAAAGGAAAATAAAAATAACATGTCAGTAGTTCTATTAATTTTTTTAACAATTTGTGACAAAAATAAAATTATAACATAATGTTATGTATGATTTAAAAGAATAATTGGATAATCAAACGAAACTTTATAAATAGTTTGGTGACTAAACACTGGTTTACCGAGTAATCTATTTTCAAATAGTGAAACAATGTTGTTTTTAGATATACTAATAATTCAAAATATTAAAAAGAGGCACATAATAATAAATGCATTTGAAAATATAATAAATATTTATATATGAATATGAGTCGAGCAATAAATGTGTAGAAATATGATTCGAGGCATGCATGTGGGTAGGGCAAAGAGACTCGAGATTAAAGAAATAGACAAGAGGTGTATAATTGTAAATTGTTGGATATTGACTCGATAGCTGTCCATATAATGTGCCACCGTACTTCGGAGTTGTGTCCTTGGTGGATGGTCTCTGTTTCTCCTTTTTTTTGTCTCAGCCGTCATCATTTCAAGTTTCAATGTTAGACTTTTGGTTACGCCTATTCTCTGTATCCAAATAGCTATAAAAGGGAACCCAGTTCTAGATTACGCACAACACTTGGGCGAATTACGATTTTGGTACCAAAATTATTAGTTTTTATCTATTTTAGTACTTAAATTTTTATTTTTTTCAAAAACGATATATAAAATTTAGTTTTTGCTTCATTTTAGTATCTAAATTAAAAATTTAACGTTAAATTTTGAAAAGATTAAAAGTTTAGGTACTAAAATGGACCAAAACTGATAATTTAAGTACTAAATGCGTTAAATTTTTTAATGGCAGAGTATTAAAATGAAATGAAATTGAACATTACGTATAATTTTAAAATTTAGATACTAAAACATACCAAAATTTAAATTTTCATAGCTTAGGAATTCTAATATGGGTAGGCTTAGGGATGATAAAGCATAAGATATTATCAAAACCAACCGAAAAGGTTAAACCCATAACCAATGATCATATAAACTTTTTCTCCGATTATTTATTTATCTGATATAAATATTTAATAAAAAATAATACAGGGCATATATATTTTAATTTTGAAAATTCATTATTTTAATCGAAAATAAAAGTTAAAACCATATCCAGCAGTGTGAGGAGTGAGGACAACTGTGATGACGTTAGGAGATAAATTAGAGCAGACAACAAGTTACATCAACAAAATTTGAAATTTTAATTGTCTCCGAAATAAAAGGCCACGCTACAAATAAACCTATATCTATATATGACTTGATGTTCTAACGTTTTATGGAATTAATTTTATATTTGATTGGACCAAAAATTATAACTTGGAATACATCCATAAAAAAGATAATCCTGTTTTTTATTGTTTATTATATAAATCGATGTTAAGTTAACATTTTTAATTTTTTATCTAAACTGATATTTAAGATTAAAATAAAATTTAAGATAATACTTATAATTTGGTATTTCCACAATCAATTAAATTGTTAATATAGTATAAATTAGTTAAAATGATAATATCATTTAACAACATTCATTATAATTTATCATTGGTTAATAATATCTAAAACATGTGGTTACTAGCTCTCATTATTCTTAGCTTGTGTTAGAAGTGAGCGTTTGATCGAATCGAGTAAAAAAATTTTGAGGTATTATAGTTGACTAGTCCTATTTTATAATTCAAACTTGATTTGATTTTTTTCCGAGCAGTATTTATAATAATATCATATTATTTTATCCTAATTTAAAAGATTATATACAATACATATATAGTTCTTCATGTTTTCATAGATATATATCATACAAAGTTGAGAAACTCGACTCAAATTTGAAAATTGATCAACTGATTACTTAAAGTTTCGAGTTATTCGAATTGTATTTTAAAACTCGATTTGAACTTTAATTTTTTTTTAAATCGATTCGAGTTTATGAAATTAAAACTCGAAGACAATTCAAATTAATTTTTTTTAAATCGAGTCGAATAGAAAAAAATTAGTCGAATTTTTCTCACCTTCAGTTGTGAGTTCAATATCCATTACAAGTAAAATTTCCTTTTCTTCCCCAAAAGGAAATGTTAAAAACAATAATTTATTTGTTGAAATTAATATTATATTAATTTATCTTTTTAAAATTAACAACCAATTTAAAATAAGAGGTCTAGGTAATAATTTAGAGAGAAAAAATACCGAGTTTGTATTGTAACGATTAAATTACTGGATCTTGCAGGCCCAAACTTTGATTATTGGACCGGCAGGACCAGGTTAAATAAGCAATAAAATCTCATTCTTCCTGCTTAAAGTTTAGGTCTAATTCTGT